AAATCATAAGGACAGTACTCCCTGACATCCTCAGGCTGATAGAACTGCCACTACCATTTAATATACTGAGATGAAGTATATTATAGTGGGTAGAGAAGCACAGATTCAAGACCCAATAATCTTGAGTAACTCACGGATTCACATTTTAACATTGTTTGTAATGAGTATCATCTGTAGTCCAAGGAACACACAGATAGAATGTTATTACTAGAAAAGAGGATTCTTTTTTTTTTTTTTTTTTTTTGCATTCCCACCAACAGTGTGGGAGGGAGAAAAGAGGATTCTAAAACATAAGAAATGTGCAGTGAGAGACCAATTTACTAAGATTTTGTAGGTGCTAAAGAGAGATAGCCTCTGAAAATTCTCTCAGGACTTTGCCATGTAAATTATTGTGGTAAAGATCAATAGGTACTCTTTTACCATATTCTTGAACTTATCTCGGGCCACTTGCTCTCTTTTCATTCTTTGGAAACATAGCATTTTAGAAGTGTCCAATCCATTTCGCATGCTACATCCAGAATCATTTTTCTAAAATATAAATCTAATCATGTCATTTTTCTGTTTAACACTTTCCAATTGCATATGGAATAAATCCAAAATTCCTCAGCATATCATATAAGGTCCCCATAATCAGTACTCTATTTCATCAATTTTTATTACCATCATCAGTGCTATTACCCTAGTCCATTCACTCCAATATCTTTATCTGTCATCCTACACTCTATTAGTATCCTACTTAAAGTTAGATGGTCATGCAGTTGCACACTTCTGTGTCATCCTTATGCTATGTTCTAAACCTCCAGTGCTTTTTCCTCATCCTCCTATGGGGCTGGTACTGTCTTATCCTTATGTTTTTGACCTCAGTGCATAAAACTGTGTCTGTCATATAACTGTTTTCATTAGACATGTGTTGAATGAATGACTTAACTTATCTTAAGGTCTCACAGAAAAGTGGTCAAAATTTCCTGACAACCAATTCATCCACTTTACATGCTTCACAGCTCAAAAACATTAAAGCAAAGTTGCTAAGTCTCATAGATCAATATTATTGAATGTTTCCCAAAAGTAAGTCTACTCTTGCCTTCCCTTTTTGTTCTAAACATGGTATTTTTCACAAGCCCACATTTACTGGGGTTTAACTTTACTGACACCATTATTTATCTATATAATATTTCTGGATGATTTGTCCTTGTTTTGTGCTCCTTTCACATTTCTTAGTTCAATTCAGATGGACACTATAGCGGAACAATATCAGACAGGATAGAATGAAGTCTGACAGACATCATCCTGTAATTGAGCTTAAAAGGCAGTAACCTTGGAAACACCAGTGGCCAATATCCAGTATTGGATGGCACTATGAAAAACTCAATATTTCTTCTAAAAATACCTTGCCGCTATTTTTAGACTGTATAAGAAATGGCAAATGTACTGCTTTCATATTTATCTCCCCTAGTACTACAATGACACACACAGCAATACATGTCAAGAACTTTTAGCAACACTTTCTAGTATCATTCGTACTTCCTCAGAAGATAACATCCCACTATATAATCTATTACAAGGGAATAGAATTTGGGAATAATTATTGGCAAAAGTAGTATCTTTTTGCTATGTTCTCTCTTCAAGAATTAAAGAGTTAGTATAAAGTGATGGAAAGGAGGGAGAAAGGAGAGGGAACTTATAGAGATTGAATGTTACATGTTCTTTATGTATTTTTAAATTTTTAAAATATTAAATGCTACATATACTTTAAAAGAATAGTTACACATACTGTGTACTCAGCACTGGATTTTGTGTCAGGTATGTTATGTATATTATCTTTAGTGCTCGTCATAACACTAAAGCAGAAATTAATGTGCCAGAACTGGGATGTGAACCTATATCTATGTTATCTACAGACAGCTCTTACAGCAGGAGCACTGCACTGAAAGTTTCCCAGTTCACACAGGCAGTGTGTGGTGGAGCTAGGACTTAAACTCTTATCTGTCTTGACTGCAAAGCCTGTGCTGTCTATATACTATACTACACTGTCTCTGAGCAATGAAAGGAAATATTCTTCTTAGTCATAATATACACTCAACATAGAAGGCTTACTTGTCTTCTTATGTAATTCCTCAATTGCTTTTGCTAACAAGGAGAACTATATGATTGATATCTACTTTAATAATTTATAGAAAGAGCCAAATGGGGTGATTGCTGCATTTATACCACCAATAGGAAAGCCTGTCATGATAGAATGGAAAAGTGAAAAAAAGCATAATAATGATGACAACATTAACAAAAATAATCACTTACATCATTTTGCTTTGTGCCAGTACTGCTCTAGGTTGTTTAGATATATTTATTTAACACAACAACCTATGAGGTAGGTACTATTATCATTCTCATGTAATCAGAGTTAAGGAAACAAGGAGGTTAGGTCATGACCCTAAGGTCACACAGCTATAACTGGCAGAGCCAGGATCTGAAACCCAGGTGATCTGGTTCCCACAGTCCATGCTCTTAACAACTAGAGCTACTGAGCATCTCTTTGTAGAAAGAAACAACTAGAAAGGACAGCTAAAAAAAAAATGCAACCCTATTTTGTTCACAATATTACCAACTGGGTGGTATTTCCATTGTGTTACTGTCAATAGATGTTCTGAAGCAATCTGCTTCAGCAAAGAATTTAGTTAAATTTGCTGTTTGCTTATGCTTTTAAACTCAGTTGAACGGGGATTTCAGTAAAGTACAACGTATTTAGTGAGTTCAAATCAATGTTCGATCCTATCCTGTCTTTATCTACAAATTTTGTCTCAAGAATTAAAGTGAAATTAGCCTATCCTTTTTCTGTAAACTTAAAAAGATTGTTTCTTTTAAATATGTTCCAAGCTTATGTCACATAATTTTTGCTTAGAAAAGGCACGTTCAGTGTGTTTGTGTGTATTAATCTGGATTCACTTCTTAGGACTTCCCACGATCACTTCCAGTTCCTTCAAGCATCAAGTACAGTTAGGAAGCTCAACATCTTTTTAGATCTACTTAGGAAATACATCCCAAATAAGTGTCCTTTGATTAAAAATAAAACATGGGTATACTTTAGGGCAAGGTCTACGTTTAGACCCCTTCTGTTTTTTTAAGTCATATTTTTATTATAATTTCTTTCTTCCCCAACAGGAATTATATACAGTAACCAAGCAAATGATGAGCCAGAATAATGGCACTAAGGATCAAGGCAATTCACATCAATAGAAGGCATCCTATTTTCAAAGTAGGTAGAGTTTACCTTTTCAATGAGTCAGTCCTAACAAATGTATTCTTACTTTCTGATTTGAGAAATAATAATTTTATTTTAATGGACAAGCAGAGTTACCGTTAATATGCCTATACAATCTGACAACAGATTCTTTCATCAGTATTTAACGGAGCATTTATGTATGAAATTGGAAAGGCATTAAATTTGCTTGATTTCAAAATGCACAATCAGCATTTCTGATTTTATTTTAGAACTGACCAGAAAAATTCTTTTAATCCTAATTAATCATCCTCTGTTTAAGTTGGGAATGAGAGCAAAACATCGCAGGGTACAGAAAGTGTTCCTAGTTTGTGAAACCAGCTTCTTTATTACTATTCAGTGCCAAAAGAAAAAAAAAAACAGATAATTTGATTTTCAAAAGGAATCTCCCAGAAACAAATAAGAGCTGAACTATTATTTGTTCATATAAAAAAATAACTTAAGTTTGATAAGTTAGATGATGGTGATACTTTGAATTAGGGGGAAAGAAGGAAGGAGAAATTTTAAATAAATCCAAGCATTTTTGTTATTATTCCAAGCATTTTTGTTATTATTTTCCCAAAAGGATGAGGATTTTCAACAACAGAGAAACAGTGAAGTACCAAATATAGATCATCAACTAAAGATAAAAGTCAAGGGAGGTAGCAGTTTTCTTATTTCTCTTGAGAGTGCTTAATAAATATGTAATCTTAAGGTACCCTTTATTTTGAGGATTTATTTATTTTTTAATCGTTTTTTAAAATTTAAATTCAATTAATTAACATATAATGTATTATTAGTTTCAAGAGAGAGGTCAGTGATTCACCAGTCTTATATAATACCCTGTGCTCATTACATCACACGCCCTCCTTTCTTTTGTTCTTTGTTTTTTAGGCAAATTTATCTCTTGGATAACTTTAAGTGCATTTATTATCAGCAGTCACTTGTGCCTGCCTAAAACTATGAACAACAATAAACTCAGCAGAAGGGCTGGAACCAATGAAATGCTGTTTGAAGAAAGTAGAATTTTTCTACCTGAAAAAACATTTTGGTTTCTGCAAAAATATAGTTTAGTTTTTTAGTTCCACAGATTGTTGTATCTTAGGTAATCACATTACTTTCATCTTTGCAACCACAGCAGCAAAGCTTAGACTGTAGCTGTATTTCCTATTTCCACACTTAGCTTTTAACATCTAGATTTACAAACTCTTCACTTGTGAATATAATATATACCTTAACTTACTATCCCACACTGTATGACATGGAATCTTCTAGGAGTGTTATGTGCCCTCCCAAGGGCACAGCATTTCCTTTCCTCAAACTGTCAAACGGTTAGTAAGCAGCTATGGATAGGAGAGAGCAAAGTTCCATGTGGATTACATCTTTGTGAAAATATAGATTCTTAAACACCTAACCAAGTAGTCTATTGACTCTATCAGCTGAAGATAAACAGGCCTGTCCTAAGATTGAAGGCAAATATGTTACTACCCCCAGTTCTTTTACCCTTTTGGTGGCATCACTGACTTGAAAGTAGACCACAGCCATCTAGTATGACCCAGGTTTGTACCTACAATGCTGGAACAGCAGATGTGGCAGTATATGAGTGAGAGAGAATCCAGAGAAGGAAGTCAAGGCTCAAGAAGAGATTTTGAAACCCTGGATGATTATTTTTGCAAATTGCTATAAGACTGCCTCTTTATCTTATAATTACATTTCATTTAGTGATTCTATTTATTTATATCTGTACCTGGTAAATCAGAGAAGAGAAGAATGCACTCATTAAAGCCATTAGCCAAAAGCCGGTCCCGTAGCTGCTGGAGAATTGCTACTCCAATACAGAATGGGAAAGAAGAATTCCCAAGGAGTAAGGTATCCCAGAGGTGGAAAATTTTGTGCAGTGGAAATACATCTGTAAAATAACAAAATATAAATATATTAATTAAAATAAAAAACAAAATAAATTAAAACAATAACAAGCTGTCTTACTAGACATATGACAAATGCCTTATGGTCAAAACTGCTGAAGAACAAATACTACCAAACTGTTTTTATAAAATGTTTCTTTGGTTTTATAAAATTTTTATAAACACTATTTTTGGTTTTGGCTTCATAAAATGTTTATAGAACTGTTTTCATACAATATTTATTGCTTCCTAAGGCATCTTTAAAATTTGATAATCAGATTGGTCAAATAGATGACATTTTCTAACCTCCATCATCAATCCTGGTATAGTTGTTTCATTCATTATATTTTTTCCTAGAATTTTCTTGTTACACTGTTCTCATAAATTATTTACCTAGATGAAATTTAGTCCTGTTTTAGGTTGAGTATTGTTACATTTTTATTATGCATTCTAAATAATTGCTTTATTAAGTTCCCATAAAAATTTTATCCCATTTTTTGCAACTTTAGTTTTTACACTTAATGATATTGTGGATATCCTTCCAGGCCAATGCATACAGATCTACTCTAAATATAGTATTCCATTTGTCATTTGTACCCATTTAAGCAGAATGTTCACCATATTAATACCTGTAATTGATTAAACTATTATACATCCACATAATCTATTTCTAGAGGAATTCCAGTTTGGAAATAGCAAAAGTATTAGTTATTAGAGGATCTCTAAAAATTGAGTCTTACTTGGTTTGTAAAAGTTGCCTTCCAAAAAACTCTATGTAAGTACTATAGTTAATGTTAATTTCTTTTTCATTAGAGGGCAGAGATTGTATGAATGTCATGACATGTAAGATAGGCATCCTATACATCACCATGCAACACTCATCCTATGCAATACTCTTTTTGATATTCATCAGTCAAAACGATTCAAATTTCTCCCTACCCAACTCTATTACATTAGAATTACATAAGGATGTTTATGTAATTATATCTGTTTAATATCACTGTAACTATAATATACCGGGGAAGAATGGAGCTGTCCTTTTACTAATACGATATTGAAAGATAAGGGAAAATGATACTTACGAGTAAACATGGTGAGAAACCAAGGGATGGCATAGAGCTATGGGTGGAAGAGGACAGGGGTTCCAGGGATGGATAAAGAAGAAATAAAATATAATTACAATGATTACTAATAAACTGAATGTAAAAAATATTCGATGCTTTGGTCTACTCCACTGATTAAAATAAAGTGAATGTCAATAATTATAATTATTACCACAAATACTCTTTTAAATAATATTATCTCTTACAAATGCTGCAGATGATGCTCTTGCCAAGGATTATTCCACAGAATGTCTTCATTTCATCAAAGAAAATACTCAAGACAATGTCTAACCCAAACACAATATTAGCAAGCCAATTCCAAGGGTATACTTTCAGATTTTTACAAAAATATTTCTGGGATTTTATTGGTCCTTATCAGTATGGTGTTACCTTTAGTATTTTTTGAGAATTGATAAGATGGTATTTGAAAGATGTCCAAAATGTCTCATGAAAAGGTGCTATGAAGCATATGCTTTCTATTCCCACTCTCTAAATTAATAGGAAACTTCATAACAGAATAAAAGTAATGAGATCCTGAAATGAAATGGGTCTTCAGCTGAATGACAAATTTATTTTCCTAAGTTTACTGTCTAGGAATGAAAATAAATACACACACACACACACGTACACATACTTTCAATTAATTTTTTGACATTTTAAAAAGTGAGAAATCATTCCTAATTTCTAAAGTAAAGTCTCCTTTGTCAGTAGCAGGTATCAAAAATCAATAATAATTTATAGAAAAACCTGAACAAGCTCTAATTTTATTTTACTTTGGGTATCAGTGCAGTCTCTACCATTAGACAAAGATTTCTGTACTACCTTTAGGGTTTAAATATTCTTTCAGCACTTATCAATTATGAATTTATGAGTAGAGTTATGTTATGTTATGTATGAGTAGAGTTATGTGCTATGCACATGTCTTTGCATAGCACACTACTGAGTATTTATGCCATCAAAATGCTGGTCAAGAACCCTAGGTATAATTATACAGTACCTTAAAATCTAAGTACTGTATGTGAAATAAAGCTCATTGCTCTCCACAAGATCATTTATATACATTGACACATAGACAGTTCTTTCAAGTGACATTATAAAAGGGAAAACTGAAAAGTACAAAGGTATGTGACTTTACTGTAAAGAGTATGGATTGTAGAAAACAATAAAATATAACAAAATTCAAACTCTTCTGCTTAATTTAAGTTTAAAAATAGTAAATATGTTTCATCACTATTTTTTAGTTTTCCTTTCTTTAAAGGACATGACATAAATTATATTACAATACCTCTACCCTCCTGATCAAAGCCAATTATTTGCCATTAGGAATCTTAACTGAATTACTTCAGTAACAAGCTAACAATCTGTTTTCCCACAGAGTGAAGAGGGCATTGTATGAGGAAACTACACAAAGTAGGAAGGCATCACTTCAAAAGATCAGAGGGAAAACTTGCCAGGCTCACACAAAGGCAGGAATAGTTCATCTTACCATCAGTCAGAATAAAAAAACAAACTAATAAACAAACAAAAAACCTATAATAAACAAGTAATTGGGTAGAGCACTCAAAAGAGTATTGCCTTAGTAATATTAGCAAAATTATGCTTCCAAATTATGCTGCTGTGGTCTTACTTAATAAACCTTAGAAGCAGGCTTTGAAAGGATCAAATTGTTTCTCTTTTTTTTTCAAAGATTTTTATTTATTTATTTGAGAGAATGAGAGAGAGAGAGAGAGAGAGAGCGATCATGAGAGGCAGTAGGGTCAGAGGGAGAAGCAGACTCCCTGCTGAGCAGGGAGCCTGATGGGGGACTCGATGACTCCAGGATCATGACCTGAGTTGAAGGCAGTTGCTTAACCAACTGAGCCACCCAGGCGCCCCTGAAAGGATCAAATTGTTTCAATGTTAGTTAGCTACATCCCAAAATAAAGCTCAAGAATATTTATAAGAATATAAAAATATCCAATATTCAACAAGGTAAAATTCATAATGTCTGGAATCTAATAAAAAAAAATACCAGTAGTAAAAAGTAGCAGAAAAAAGTGATCCATAATGAGGAGAAAAATAATTCAATCAAAATGCACACAGAACTGACATGTTTGTAACACCAGGCAATGATGTTAAGATACTTTTTATAACTGTATTTCACATGTTCAAAAAGCTAAGGAGGTTCATGTTAAGTAGAGACATGGCAGATGCAAAAAAAAAAAAAAAACAACCAAAAAAATTCAAACTTTCAGAGATGAAAAGTAGGATGTTTGAGATAAAAAAATATACTGGATGGGATTTAAGAGCAGATCAGACACTGCAGATGAAAAAATTAGTGAACTTGAAAACACTGAAATAGAAAGTACCCAAAATGAAACAAAGGAAGAAAAAGGACAAAAACAAACAAACAAAAAAACAAAAAACAGCCCTGAGCATCAGTGAGCAACTTCAATCAGCTAAATATATATGTTATTAGAGATACGAAATGGGAGAGAGGAAATATGAAAGGGGACAGAAAAAATATTTGAAGAAATAATAGCTTGAACATTTTCCAAATTTGGTGAAAACTAAAAACTAATAGGATCCAATAATCTCAAGTTGCCCAAACACAAGACCCATGAAGAAAACCACACTAAGGCATATCATATTCAAATTCCTCAAAATCAGTGGTAAAGAGAAAAATCTTACACACCATAGCTAGAGAAACACACACACACACATACACACACACACACATTATGTAAGAGCATCAATGAGAAGATTCTTCTCAAAAAATGTTTTGTCAGTGCCCAATAAATGACAGTGTAGTAACATTTTTAAAGTATTAAAAAAAATCTATGTAGAATTGTATGCTCAGCAAAAATATCTTTTGAAGACAAAAGGTAAAATATAGACTCTTTCACACACATAGAAACTGAAAAAATTCGTCACCAGCAGTCCTATACTACAAGAAATACTGAAGAAGTCTTCCAGGCAGAAAGGAAATGATACCAGATGGAAATCTAGATCTACACAGAATGAAGAGACATACAGGATTGTAAACGTCTATGTGGTTGAATATAAGACTTTTATTTTTAAAAAATCTTTAAAAATAGTAATTTCTTTAAAGCAAAAATAGTAATTTATTGTAGGGTTTATAACATATGTAGAAATAAAATTTAGGACAACTATAACACAAATACTGGGAGGGGAAAATGGAAGTATATATTATAAAGTATTTGTACTATCTGTGAAGTGGTATAACTTGAAAGCAAATGGTGGTAAGTTAAAGAATTATAATATAAACCAGAAGTTCTTCATCACTATTCACATTTTAGGTTAGATAACTTTTGGTTGGGAATGTCCTTTGCATTTTCAGATTATTGCAGCAATCCAGCCTCCACCCACTAGATGCCAGTAGTATTCACCCAGTTTTGTCAAAAATGTCTTTAGACATTGCCAAAAACCCTCTGGGAGGCAAAACTGCCTGTTTGAAGACTACTGTATAAATTCTAAGGAAATCAATAAGAAAACACAACAGAGTCATAGCTAACATGTCAACAAAGGAGATAAAATAAAATCACAGAAAAAAAATCCAATGAATTAAAAGAAGACAGATAAAAAGGAAAAGGAAAACAAAGAATTGATGAGACAAAGAGAATAAAAATAGCAAATGGTAGATTTAAAGGCAACCATATCAATAATCACCAAAAAAGTAAATGGTTCTTGTGATGGTTGATTTTATGTTCAACTTGACTGATATGGGGTGTCCAGTTACTAGTTAAACACTATTCTGGTTGTGTCTTTGAGAGTGTTTCTGGATAAGATCAACATGTGAATCAGTAGACTTAATAAAGCAGATTGTTCTCCCTATGTGAGTGGGCCTTACGCAATTTGCTGGAGGTCTAAACAGAACAGAAGTAATACTTCTATTAGTAATATTAATAGAAGACAGAGTAAGGGAGAATTCACTCTCTGCCTGATGGATAGGATACAGCAGTGAACAAAACATAGGTCCAGCCTGTAAGGAGCTTACAGTTCATTAAGGGCAGTAGATGTTCATTACATATTCTCTCAATTCATTCCATTTAGGTTCTTGCCTCCACCTCACCACCAAAACTGCTCTTACCTTCATCATAAAAGATTTCCCTGTTGCTAAATCTAATAGCCAATTCTCCTTCTCAATTCTTCTTTAGCAATCATCAGGGTTTACCATAGTTAACTACTCTTACCTTCTCAACCCGCCTCTCCAATTTGACTTCCAAGATACCACATTCAACTACTTTTCTTGACGCTTCTGATTGTTGCTCCATCTCCTTTGTTGGTTCTTCTTCATCTCCCTGACTTAAATATTGGCATCCCTTATTTTCAGTCCTTGGACTTTTCCTCTTTTCTATTTTTCTCCAAATGATTATATACAGTGTGAGGACTCCCCCATTTTTATAGCTCTATCCCAGACCTCTCCCCTGAATTCCAAACTACATGTCTAAATGCCAGCTTGACATTTCCACTTGTATGTCTAACAGATATACATAACATGTCCCAAACTGAGCTCCTCAGACTACTTCAAAAATGTGTGCTCCAAGTATAGTCTTCCAAATCTTAGTTAAGAGCAACTCTGTTCTTCTAATTGCTCAGGTAAAAAATTCTGGAATCATTCTTAACTTCTCTTTCTCCTACATTGTACATTTGCCACTAGCAATCCTGCTGGCTCTACCTTCAAAATTATTCCAGAATGTAAAAACTGCCTACCACCCCTACTGCTAATTTCCTGATTCAAGCCACTCTTGCCTAGATTATCATAATAGTGCATGACTAACCTTTTTAAATTCCTTCTTTGTTCTTCCTTGGGTTTCTCTTACCATAGCAGCCAGAATGATCTTGTTAAAATGTTTAGATCAGAACATATCATTCCTCTGGTCAACAGTATCCAGTGGCTTTCCAACACTGTAAAAGCTGAAGTCTTAACTATGAAATCTGGTTTGATGTAAAATCTGGTCCTATTTGACTCTCATCTCCTTGTTCATTGAGCTCCAGTCACATCGGTCTCCTGGC